AAATTTGTCTTGGCTCCTGATGACTGGTAGAACTGAACCATTACAAACCGGACAGAAACAAACTACAAAACATGCTACTTCACATCTTTGTTCGCACCTCAGGTCAGGTCATCTTTACTGTATTAAAGACTCTTTCAAACTTGCTTTGAGGAGAGAGCAAAGCTCAGGGCAGTGACCTTGTCTTGTCTATGAAATTCTTCCTGAGTAGAACGTAACCGAGAACAAAGGGCCTGTACTTGCCAATTCTGCGATAAATTAGGCATTTATTGGCTTTGAAGTGGAGGAGAGGCAACTATTACAATAAAATCAAGACCTTTGTTTTCCTTTTGTGATATTCCTGGCCTTTCCTTGCCTCAGGGCTTCAGTGTTTGTTCAGTATCCAGGATACTATTCAGCATCTATGGATTTAGTTAAGGGAAACAGAGACTGGCTGTAGTGCCGGAGCGCAGCTGCGTTAATACAATGAAAACCCATATTCCTCTTTGAAGGAAGGAAAAACAACAAGTACCTAGCAAAGGCCTCCTGGAGCAATAATGAGCACTCTTGAGTGGCACAACGGATTTGCTTAAGACTGGACAGAGCTACTTAAGCCTCCAAATCTATTGTTTGAGGGGTTGAAAAAGTGTCAACGGGATACTAAAGGTACACCGCATAATGATTAGTTTATTTGATGGTTTTAGACTCAAAGGTCCATATTGGTCTTCATGAGTTTCTTGAGAAGTTCATAAATAAATCTGCAAGTGATGCCATCGGCGGCTTCTGTCGAACAGCTGTTTTGCTGCATCACAGATACATCTGAAAACCATCTGCTCATCTCCAAACAAGTCAAGTGACATGTTTAAAGACCAGAGACATTCAGATGTGACTCACATCACCCACAATGGCTCTCAAACAATCTGGGATCGGATCCAAATATATTGAAATATCATTTCTGTTGACTGCGATCCAACTCTCCACAATTTTTCTGGTAGAAAAGCATGTAACATTCATTCAAGAGAGTCATATGGGTTTGGATCGACATGAGGGAGAGTAAATGAGATTAATTGAGAGAACTAATGAGTACATAATGACAATTTTCATTTTTGGGTGAACTATGGACAGAATATATAGGACTTATATTTTGGTTTAGGATATAAGGAGGTTCCATTGGGTCTAAAGGTGTGGGGGCCTCAATGTAGGCCACATTTTGCGGGCAAATTTTTTTCCATTTTTTCATTGTCAGTAGTGTAGTGATGTATGAAGCACTGCTCACAAAGAAGTCACTTTCAAACCAAGCAGCTTTCTGTTGGTCAGCATGGCAAATTCACACTACCCACTTGAACATCAGCCAAATTTGCATGGGGATCTCGCACAAAACTCCCTAATGAAATGAATGGAATTTGCCTGTGAAACTTCACAGAGCAGCAGTAAATGTGACCGAACATTAAGACACCTCTAATGAGCCTTAAATTGATCTGAAAAGAGCTGTTTTTGACAGGGTAAAAAAGGTGTTTTTTACACTACCATTGAGAAATTTTAACCAAACTATGTTACAGACTTTTCATTAAGACCCTAAAGAATGATATCAACTTGTGGAAAATGGGCATCCTATGACCCCTTTAAAGGCATAGTTCACCGAAAAATGAAAATAACCCCATGATTTACTCACCTTCAAGCCATCCTAGGTGTAAATGACTTTCTTCTTTCAGATGAATAAAATCTGAGTTATATTAAAAAATGTCCTGGCCTTCCAAGCTTTATAATGGCAGTAAATGGTGGTTAAGATTTTGAAGCCCAAAAAAGTGCAACCATCCATCATAAAAGTGCTCCACACAGCTTCGGGGGGTTAATAAAGGCCTTCTGAACGAATCGATGCATTTGTGTAAGAAAAATAAAAACTTTATAAACTGTAATCTATAGCTTCTGTATGTGCGTTCACGAGAGAGTGGCGTTCCAGTGGATGATGTAGGACGTAGGCATAGCGTAACGCACCATTTTAAGACTAATAAAATGTAGAGTATAGCTAAAACAATTCACTTCTTCACATGGCTTTCCTTTGCTGTAAACAAAACTTGATTGTCACGAGACTAGCATATTCTCACCGGAGCTTATGCCCATGTCCTACACTGGAACACCACTCTCTCGTGAACATGAATACAACAGGTAGCGGAAGATAGATATTAAGGTGTATAAAGTTTTAAATATGGATATTTTTCTTACACAAACGCATTGCTTTGCTTCAGAAGGCCTTTATTAACCCTCTGAAGCCGTGGAGTACTTTTATGATGGTTGGTTGCACTTTTTTGAACTACAAAATCTCGGCCCCCATTCACTGCCATTATAAAGCTTGGAAGAGCCAAGACATTTTTTAATATAACTCTGACTGTATTCGTCTGAAAGATGAAAGTCATGTACACCTAGAATGGCTTGAGGGGTAATTCTCATTTTTGAGTGAACTATCTCTTTAAGCCCAAAGTACACTTTGGTTTTTAAGCATACAGTGCACGTAACATAAATGTCATCAGCATTATCCACATTCACTGTACATGCACAGCCAGACTTTTCTAAATGTGGAAACAAGAAAAACTAGCAGAGACAGCAACAATAGACATCCATGTTGACGAGTCCTTGCATGAGGGGGTTAAGATGATCATGCAACTCTTCTTTTACAAGGACATTTTTATCGCTCATAACAACTGCAGAGAAATAGTGCAGGCAGTGGACTAGGAAAGTTCTAGTGTGCTTGTGTCAAGAGTCTCTGTGTTCGTGTATGCTATCAAATGAAGTATACTTTGAAAGGCTATGCGTTTGACTGTACACTAGGGCTGTACAATAATTCAATATCAATATGTATCGCGATATAATTTTTTTCAATAACGGTGATATGATTTTTAAACACATTTCCAATATTTCGATATACATTACCAATTTACCAGTGGTTCCCATACATTGATTTATTTGTGGCGTTTGACTTCGTTGAATAAACATGAGCACTGCACGTTTCAAAATCAAAACACGTCG